ATACATACGAGAGTTTAAGTTAGATATGGTGAGTCTCCTATCTTCCAAAGGATTTCATTTACTTTTCAATGTATTCAGGATGTCGTGGATCTTGTCCCGACTTCCATCATTATCAGTTAGACTTCATAGATAGTCAGTTTATTTAAGGAGTCTATATTAATAATTTATTTTACTAAATGTTTTAAAGACTTAAGTTGTCTATTTTATGGCGAATTGAATAAATTATTTTATTCAGAGTTTTTCATTTGAGTTAAAGTGTTGTAAGGTTGAGTTTTGTGAACTTTTATTTCAGTTTTAAGCTTTTGTATGCTTAATTTTTAGCCTTCCACTTGTAGTCAGCCAGGATGAGGGTTCCCTTAGGGTCCAACAATTGTTCTTGAATGTCGGCCACGTCCCAGGTGTAGACTCGTTCACAATACAAGGAAATCTAACCTATTCATTATTCTTGAAAATGTCAAGTGTCATTGTATGTTCAATAAAATTTCGAACACCATCAATAAACTCAGGTTCCAATCCAGCACCAGTTTCATAATGCATATTATACATCCACAAATGATGATCCATCTACAAAAAATATAGATATTCAATTAGTTTTGATTTAATTCCAACAACTAAATTCACCAACTAAATCATCTTATTTTATCTAACTTATTTTAACAACTTGATAATTTGTTAACTTTAACTAGTTTAGTATTAACTTAATTCCAACAACTAAATCCACCAACTAAATCACATTATTTATTATAACTTATTTAAACAACTTAAATTCTTCAACTAGTTTAGTTTTGACTTAATACAACAACAAAATCCACCAACTAAACCATGTTAGTTAACTTAAAATTTTTAAACATTTTAATAACTTTTTAACTTTAACTACTTTAGTTTTAAAGTTAAGTGACAACACTAGATGGACACAAATCGATCTTGCAAGAAAACTAATTTTGTCATCAATAGGATGATTATTTACAAATTTAAAGCTAGTATCAACACTAGATGGATACAAATTGATCTTGCAAGAAAATCAATAGGTGGCAAGAAATGTGTGTGTGTGTGTGTGTGTGTGTGTATATATATATATATATATATATATATATATATATATATATATGGAGCAAAATCTGCTGAAAAAGCAACGAACTAAGAGATGTTGTCCGTTACTTTTCGTCAAATAGTTTTAAAAATAATTATTTTAATCAAAAAGTGACAGACAGCGTCTCAAAAGCCATTGTTATTTTGAACGACGTCGTCCGTCATTTTTCCCAATTTTTTTGTAGTGCATGTTATATCAATCATGTTTATCTCATTACAAATCAACGTGATGGGACAAAAATGTTCCAGTTGATGATGTTGGAATTAATGCATCTACATTAATGTTTAGTCTTCCAAAATTGTATCTCAGTTTTTCTTGAAAATCTTTATTAGGTATTAATACATGTATTCAATTAATTGTGATGCATATATCTATTTTTTTATGCAAGACTTTTTTTTTACATTATACTACTATAAATAGAGATGTAATTGATGATTCTGATCATCTCAAGTGATCTTAAATAACCTATATAAAACTTGAGTGTCTCTAAAGATAATATTCTCCTTCTATATTTTCTAGAGATAATTGTGTGCAACTGCAATATTACTACACTAATGGATCCTTTGAAAGTATGTCCACGTCTCATGAGTAGAAGACATAGGATGTAACGATTCAAAAAAATAAAATTATATAAATAAGAATAAATAAGTATTTAAGGGCGTAATTGTCCTTTCACGTTTTAAATGAATAAATAAATAAATAAATCAAAAACAGATTTGTATTTATTTATTTTAAATGTTATTTGACTAATTCTTGAATTAGTCTCCTAATCCAAATAGTCCTCTCTCTCTCACGCTTCTTAACTCTCTCTCTCTCACGTTCTCCATCTTCCTCACATTATTTCTGCCAAAATATCAACAGTTTTCATGCTTGAAGAACTCACAAAAATTTTTAAGCAAAAGAAAAAGTAATCAAAACATCAAGGCTAAGAGAGGTTCGTCGAGAGAGGTATACTTTGAAGTGAATTGGGAGTGGTTTGGAGGAGTATTCCGGACAGCAACATTAAAGTTTGAACATCGATTAAGGTATGGGTTTCTTCTCTCTTGGTCCCTTTCCCAAGAGACCCCTTAAGGTTCAAGATATTCATTCCGAAAACTAGGGTTGTTCCCTTTTGTATGTCCTTGTCACTAGCTCCCAATGAATTTTAGGTTGGGTATGATTGCTGGTAGATTTAGAGGTATATTATGTTTTCGCGATGAATATGATTATGTTTGTGTACTTGGAATCATATGAATGGCAATCATGTTTTCTTGAAATTAAGTATGTTACGGTGAATGAGGTTCTCTATGTAATGCTCCAAAAGTTTAATGTAATATGATTGTATTTATTGTGTATTTGATGTGTATAATGGATGTACAAGATGATGTTCATTATGATGAAGTATATAGTAATTGATTAACAATCTTTTAGCCAAACAAACCCATAAAAGATGCACTTAAAATGTGTTATAATAGTCTACGAATTTTCTTAGGAATTCAAGTGAAAATATTGATAAAAACGAATTGAAAAATGACCAAAAATTCCAGAAACAATGCAACTTTAATTTTGACTAAAGTTTAATGAAGGAAATCTGGAAATTTATTAAATTTTAAAGGAATGAGGCCGCATGGATTCGAACCTGGGACCTCACCCGTGAGGCTGCAGTAACTCGCAGAAAAAAGAAAAAAAAACGGGGGGCTGGGAGGATTCGAAATCGGGTACTGGAAGAGGAAGAAAAGAAAAAAAAGAAATGCTGGGGGCGAGAATCGAACCCCCGACCCCCAGTTCGGGAAAAAGGGAAAAGAAATGGGACTGAAGGGAATCGAACACGCGACCTGGGGAAGGGAATTAATTTAGTAAATTAAATGGGAGGTGTGGGATTCGAACCCACGACCTCCAAGTGCGCGCGAGAGAGGGAAAAATGGGAAGAAATAAAACGTGAGGCGTGGGAATCGAACCCACGACCTCAAAGACTGTAGCAGTGTATAAAAAAAATATGAGGGGCTGTGGGGGTTCGAACCCACCACCTCACAGCCTCCTCTTCAGCGAAAAAGAGAGGAAAAATAAGGGGCTGTGGGGGTTCGAACCCACAACCTCCCTATTCAAGCGAATTTAATTAAAAATAATAATAATAATAATAATAATAATAAATTAAAATTCTAATTAAAGTTGGAAAATTAATTCTCTCATGTAAACATTGAGATTTAATTTAGAATTTTAATTAAAAATAGAATATTAATTCTTTTATGTAAATATTGAGATTTAAATTAGAATTCTAATTAAATTAGAAAATTATTCTTTCATGTAAATAATTGAAATTTAGTTTAGAATTCTAATTAAAATAGAAAATTTATTATGTCACGAAAATGTTGAGATTTAATTTAGAGTTCTAAATTTACGAATATTAGAACTAAAGTCAATGAAAAATATAAATGATATCCAAATAATTCAAGATTTGGGTTCTCGTGTCCAAACCTCCGTATTGATACATAAGTCATACGTGAGTGAAATATTCAAGAGTAATGTCATCTACTTAGATCAAAAATCAAAGATCTTGGTATATATACAAGATACATAAGTCTTGTAATATATAATCTTAGAAAAATAAGAATCACTTAACGAACTATAAATGAAGTCTCATGGCTTGTATGTATAGACACATAAGTCTAACATACGTTCAAAAATAAGTGGACCTAAGATATACGTAATGAAATGAAGAATGTGGTGACAACCATGATGTGAGGCTAATGTATATGATGAGAGCAATCTCAAATGAGCCCAATAAAATGTTACTAATACGTACTTACCAATGTGAATGTGAGATAATGAAGAGACCAGCCTCTATGAATACTCTAATAAAAATATTGAGTTTAAAACACTTAATACTAATGATGAGATGAGAAGTCATCTATTGAGTTATGATGTCCTCATACTAGAAGCAAACTTCTATGATGTATGAGTTGAATGTAATGGAACTTTATACCGAGCACCGATAGGCTAGCTATGAGTGGTGATGCCTTCTTACGGGAAGGGCGGAGGTTCACGTAATTCTCATGAGATGAGACTGTCCGGCTTGCCGGGTATGGGTCTCCATACATCTCCTAGTCTTTGAACCTATATTGCCACTATAGGGATCTGGCGGGGTTAAATTCCCATATACGCTAGCATGTTATTGAATCGCTTTGGCCGGTGATTCCACCTCTTTTCGGTGTGGGGAAGACACTGGATTTCATGATGCTCACATGATCTATGTCGGTTAAAGTTAAAGTTCCCAATGAATGAATGAGGCCAGCCTCAAATGAATCATATAAAGAAATGAATGATACCGAAGGTGTTAGGATAGGATAATCAAGAGGTGAGCTAGATTCAGGTAATGACATTAGGTCATTCCTGATCATTGCACAGCAAACCCGATGAAAATCTTAAACTACATCCTAGGTATAGCTGGTGTTCGCACTGGCCGATGAATGAATTGAAATGAAATACGAATGAATGAATGAAGCAGACTCTGTGTTTGCTAAAGAAGGCTCCCTAGTTGAGGTCCCATATGTTGAGCCCTCATTTTGGAAAGTCTTAAAGTTAAGTCTATGATAGTAAGGTCTCATGGTATACGAATGAATAATATGAAAGAAAGTATGTGTTATATGTTATGTGCTATATGAATATGTTATGTTTTGTGTGCCATACGATAATTATAATGATGCATGTCACTCTCATGGCATAACTTTCCCAATCTCAATTTGGCAAGTCCACTGACTTGACTTCCAAAAATCATGTTGTTAGGAAAGAGCTATTCTTTCTCATGCATGTCCCTGGTGTGTGCTTGCATATACCCATACTTAGTACAAGTGTGTACTAATTTCATACGAACATCTACTTTTAGGTGCAGGCACAGGTGGACGCTAGAGCTACAGGTTCGTTGTTGCAGCTATCCGGACGTCAGTATTCATCCGGAGTTTGGTAGGTCCTCATGCTTTCGAGGATGCTACTGTTTTACATTCTAGCGTAGTTTTAGAGTTGAGCTAGTGGAGCATGTTCCACTAGCGTTTCTTTCCTGTTTTGGTTCAGACTTTGTATTGGTGCTATTTTGGCCTATATACAATTAATACTTAATGAATTATTTCTTTCAGTTGCTTATCTCTTAAATGTTAGATGGTCGATGATGAACGATTACGAAATGTTAAGAATGTTCTGCAAGTATGATTAAAGAATCAAAAGTTTCAAATTTTCTGCTAAAATTAATCTATGTAAAGTAAGAATGACGTAAGTAGGCTTGTCTGCGACCTCTGAGAGGTCAACGACGCCGGTCTCGTCTGGGGTCTAGATTCCGGTCGTGACAAAGTTGGTATCAGAGAGCTAGGTTAAATTCCTAGAATAATGAGTTTACATCAACCACATTGAGTAGTTTCTAAGTCATGGTAGTGAAGTGCACCACTATCCTGGATTAGAGACTGCATGATGCGTAGGAAAGACTTCCCTTCTTCTGATCTTATTGTGCTTTTCCTAATGTTTGAATTCTTGGTGTTACGAACGTGTCTAACATCAACCTTGTTGTTTTCAGAGAATGAATACTTGGGGAACTAAGGGTCTGAGGACGGGAGCAGCAGCAGCTAGGGGTAATCAGAATCCACCCCAGGCTCCAGCTGAAGGAGTGGCCATGCCAGTGAACCCAGCTGGGTTGACTGATGCGGAGGTGAGGGCATCTCTAGCCCAGATGTCACAGGCCATCACGATGCAGGCCCAAGCTATGACTGCCCAAGTCAACCGGCAGGATGTTCTGAGGGAAAACCCACCGGTTCGCAGCATAGCTGACAGACTGCGAGACTTCACGAGGATGAATCCTCCAATTTTCACAGGGGCTAAGACTTCAGAAGATCCTCAGGAATTTATAGACGAGTTGCATAAGATACTGGTGGCCATGGGGGTCACTGATATTGAGAAGGCTGAGTTGGCTTCCTACCAGCTCAAAGATGTTGCACAGACTTGGTGCAAAATGTGGCGAGATAGCCATGTCCTAGAAGGGGTGCCAGTCACCTGGGAGCTGTTCAAGACAACATTTTTGGAAAGGTTCTTCCCTAGAGAGATGAAAGAGGCCAAGGTTGAGGAGTTCATCAACCTCAAGCAAGGATCCATGACTGTCAGGGAGTATTCCCTGAAGTTTGTGAAGTTATCAAGGTATGTACTTCCCTTAGTATTTGATAACAAGAATGATGAGAGTACTTAACTTTGTTGAAATTATCCAGGTATGCTACTCCCTTGGTTTCTACCAGCAGGGAGGAGATGAGCAGATTCCTCACAGGAATCAATGGAGACCTGGAGGAGGATTGTCGGGCTGCGATGCTGCATGATAATATGGACCTTTCTAGATTAATGATGCATGTCCGGCAGGTAGAGGACAGCCGAAAGAGGAGAGGTGTACGTGATGTTAGGAGGCCTAGGCCTCAAGATTAGGCAGGTCCCAGCCATGGAGGCCATAGAAACAATTTTGGCGTCCGCGAGCAGCCCAAATTCAAGAATGGGCAACAGAGTGCTGGAAATTCTGACCCTCAGAGAAATACAACGCCTAGAGGAGGCAGACCCGAACCCAAGAGGGGCAATGGAGGTGAGATGCAGCGTCCAAGGAAGACTTATACTAAGTGTGGACGAACTCACCTTGGAGAATGTAGACAGGGCACTAATGCCTGTTTCGGTTGTGGTAAGAGTGGACACATGGTCATAGACTGTCCCCAGAACAGAGGTCAGGCTGGGGGTAATGCTCAGCCTAGGCCTGCCCCACATAATGCAGCAGCAGCCGAGCCTCCGAAGAGGAACAGATTTTATGCCTTGAAAGGTAGGGAGGAGCAGGAGAAGTCCGCTGATGTGGTCACAGGTATGCTGCAAGTATTCTCAACTTCTGTTTATGCTTTACTTGATCCAGGGTCTACACTTTCCTTTGTGACTCCTCTACTTGCCCTTACTTTTGAAGTACTACCTGAAGTCCTGCATGATCCTATAGTGGTTAGTACGCCTTTAGGAGAAAATGTGAAAGCTGATAGGGTATACCAGAATTGCCCAATAGTTGTGAGTGGCAGGGCTATGTGTGCAAACTTGATTGAGTTACCCATGCATGATTTTGATATTATTCTTGGCATGGACTGGCTTCACAGCCATTATGCTTGCTTGGACTGTCGTAGTAGAGTGGTGAGGTTTCGTTTCCCTAATGAAGAAGAGTTAGTCTGGGAGGGGTAAAATCCGACTCGCCCTAACCCCTTGATTTCAAATCTTAAGGCCAATAAAATGATAGCCAAAGGGTTATTATGTCATCTAGTGAGTGTTAATGATTTAGATCATGATGTTCCTTCCATAGACTCGGTGCCTGTAGTAAATGAATTCCTAGATGTGTTTCCTGAAGATTTGCCTGGAGTCCCTCCCCTTCGAGAGATTGACTTTGGTATCGACTTAGAACCTGATACTAAACCAATCTCAATTCCTCCTTATAGAATGGCTCCAGCAGAACTCAAGGAGTTGAAGCTGCAGTTAAAGGATCTCACTGATAAGGGTTTCATTCAGCCGAGCATATCCCCTTGGGGCGCTCCAGTGTTGTTTGTAAAGAAAAAGGATGGGACCCTTAGAATGTGTATCGATTATCGGCAGCTCAACAAAGTCACTATAAAGAATCAGTATCCACTTCCCAGAATTGATGATTTGTTCGATCAGCTCCAAGGGTCTAGTTTCTTCTCTAAGATTGATCATCGTTCAAGGTATCATCAGCTTAGGGTTAGGGATGGGGATGTCCCAAAAACAGCTTTTCGTACCCGTTATGGTCATTATGAGTTCTTGGTTATGTCATTCGGTCTCACGAATGCACCTGCTACATTTATGGACCTCATGAACAGAGTCTTCCGTGAATACCTTGACTCTTTCGTCATAGTATTCATTGATGACATTCTCATCTACTCTAAGACCAAGGAAGAGCATGAACAGCATTTGAGACTAACCTTGCAGGTACTTAGACAACATCAGTTGTATGCCAAATTCAGCAAGTGTGAGTTCTGGCTGAGATCAGTGACCTTCCTGGGTCATGTTGTGTCCGATCAAGGTGTAGAAGTGGACCCCAGAAAGACTGAAGCAGTTAAGAAGTGGTCAAAGCCTCTTACACCCATTGATATCCGTAGCTTTCTGGGATTGGCTGGTTACTACCGCAGGTTCGTGGAGGGATTTTCTTCCATTGCTGCCCCACTTACAACCTTGACAAAGAAGAAATCCAAGTTTGAATGGACGGATACTTGTGAGAAGAGTTTCTAGGAGCTCAAGGACAGACTCACTTCAGCCCCGGTGCTTACTCTGCCTAAGAGTGGCGAGAATTACACTGTCTATTGTGATGCATCTAGGGTTGGTTTGGGATGTGTTCTTATGCAGGCTGGTAAGGTGATAGCTTATGCTTCCAGACAGCTCAAGGTTCATGAAAAGAATTATCCCACTCATGACTTGGAGTTAGCAGCTGTGGTGTTTGCGTTGAAGTTGTGGAGGCATTATCTGTATGGAGTACATGTGGATGTGTTCACGGATCATAAGAGTCTCCAGTACGTGTTCACGCAGAGGGAGCTGAATCTACGGCAACGCAGATGGTTGGAGCTGCTGAAGGATTATGACATGAATGTGCACTATCATCCAGGTAAGGCTAATGTTGTGGCTGATTCTTTGAGCAGGATGAGCATGGGGAGTACAGCCCACGTTGAGGATGAGAAGAAGGAGCTAGTGAAAGAGGTACACAGACTGGCCAGGCTGGGTGTGCGGTTGGTTGACTCTACTAGTGGAGGTGTTTCAGTTCACCCTAGTTCTGAATCATCCCTGATAGTGGAAGTCAAAAAGGGTCAGCATCTTGATCCTGTGTTGATGGAGATGAAGGACTCAGTGTTGTTAAAAATGAATGAGTCTTTTGCTTTGGGAGATGATGGCATACTTAGATACCAGAACCGGTTGTGCGTACCAGATGTAGATAATTTACGGACCAAGATTGTTACAGAGGCCCATGGTTCCAGATATTCCATACATCCAGGTTCTACAAAAATGTATCATGATCTTAAGCAGATTTATTGGTGGAATGGCATGAAGAAGGATATTGCAGAATATGTGGCTAAGTGTCCTAATTGTCAGCAGGTTAAGGCAGAGCATCTTAAGCCTGGTGGTCTGACTCAGATTATTGAGGTTCCGACTTGGAAATGGGAGGCCATTTATATGGACTTCGTAGTTGGTCTTCCGAGGACTAGGAGGCAGCATGACTCTATATGGGTTGTTGTGGACAGATTGACTAAGTCCGCCCACTTTATCCCTGTGAAGTCTACTTACAGGGCCGAGGATTACGCGAGACTTTACATTGATGAGATTGTGAGATGGCATGGGATCCCTTTGTCTATTATTTCAGATAGAGGAGCTCAGTTTACTTCGCATTTTTGGAGATCTTTCCAGAAAAGCTTAGGCACGCAGATGAAACTTAGCACTGCCTTTCATCCTCAGACAGATGGGCAGGCAGAGCGCACTATTCAGACATTGGAGGACATGTTAAGAGCGTGTGTGATTGACTTTAGAGGTAATTAGGATGACCATCTACCTTTGATAGAGTTCTCGTATAATAATAGCTATCACTCCAGCATTGGGATGGCACCGTTTGAGGCATTGTATGGTAGGAGGTGTAGATCTCCGGTTGGGTGGTTCGAGGTTGGAGAGTCATCTATTTTGGGTCCAGAGATCATTCATGAGGCCTTGGAGAAAGTTAGAATGATTAGGGACAGGTTGGCTACTGCTTACAGCCGACAAAAGTCATACGGAGACAACCGAAAGCGACCCTTAGAATTTAACGTTGGTGACCAAGTTTACTTGAAGATATCGCCTATGAAAGGGGTGATGCGATTTGGTAGAAAAGGGAAGCTTAGTCCGAGGTATGTGGGGCCATATGAGATCCTACAGCGCGTGGGTGAGGTGGCCTAAAAGTTAGCATTGCCTGCGGAGCTAGCTTCTGTTCATCCAGTCTTTCATGTCTCTATGTTGAAGAAGTGCCTAGGTGATCCAGCATCAATCCTACCTGTAGAAGGTTTGGGGGTTGGTGAAGACTTGTCCTATGAGGAAATACCTGTTGAGATCTTAGACAGACAGGTCAAGCGGCTGAGGAACAAGGAGATTCCCACAGTGAAGGTATTGTGGAGAAACCATCTTGTTGAGGGTGCTACGTGGGAGGCTGAGGCCGACATGAGATCCCGATATCCACATCTTTTCAACTCTTGAGGTTAGGCTTCCTACTCGTAAGACTATAGTTCCTTATCTCTTCGTATTTGTTGCTATTGGCTGATTGTACATAGCAATTACGTTTTGATCTGATTGGCATTATGATGTGTAATGGTAGTGTCATTCGGGGACGAATGTTCCTAAGGGAGGGATAATGTAACGATTCAAAAAAATAAAATTATATAAATAAGAATAAATAAGTATTTAAGGGCGTAATTGTCCTTTCACGTTTTAAATGAATAAATAAATCAAAAACAGATTTGTATTTATTTATTTTAAATGTTATTTGACTAATTCTTGAATTAGTCTCCTAATCCAAATAGTCCTCTCTCTCTCACGCTTCTTAACTCCCTCTCTCACGTTCTCCATCTTCCTCACATTATTTCTGCCAAAATATCAACAGTTTTCATGCTTGAAGAACTCACAAAAAATTTTAAGCAAAAGAAAAAGTAATCAAAACATCAAGGCTAAGAGAGGTTCGTCGAGAGAGGTATACTTTGAAGTGAATTGGGAGTGGTTTGGAGGAGTTTTCCAGACAGCAACATTAAAGTTTGAACATCGATTAAGGTATGGGTTTCTTCTCTCTTGGTCCCTTTCCCAAGAGACCCCTTAAGGTTCAAGATATTCATTCCGAAAACTAGGGTTGTTCCCTTTTGTATGTCCTTGTCACTAGGTCCCAATGAATTTTAGGTTGGGTATGATTGCTGGTAGATTTAGAGGTATATTATGTTTTCGCGATGAATATGATTATGTTTGTGTACTTGGAATCATATGAATGGCAATCATGTTTTCTTGAAATTAAGTATGTTACGGTGAATGAGGTTCTCTATGCAATGCTCCAAAAGTTTAATGTAATATGATTGTATTTATTGTGTATTTGATGTGTATAATGGATGTACAAGATGATGTTCATTATGATGAAGTATATAGTAATTGATTAACAATCTTTTAGCCAAACAAACCCATAAAAGATGCACTTAAAATGTGTTATAATAGTCTACGAATTTTCTTAGGAATTCAAGTGAAAATATTGATAAAAACGAATTGAAAAATGACCAAAAATTCCAGAAACAATGCAACTTTAATTTAGACTAAAGTTTAATGAAGGAAATCTGGAAATTTATTAAATTTTAAAGGAATGAGGCCGCCAGGATTCGAACCTGGGACCTCACCCGTGAGGCTGCAGTAACTCGCATAAAAAAGAAAAAAAACGGGGGGCT